TCGGGCGCTCCGGCTGCCTCGGGAGCCGGCGGAGGGCTCGGGAAGCCGTCGACATTTATCGTCTCCTCGGCCGGATGAGCGGACCGTCCGGAGCCGTGAGGAACCAAGACTCTTCCGCATTCGCTTTTGACCGGCTTCAAGTTCCAGCGCTCGGATTTCTCTCTCGGGGGGGCTTGCCGCTCAGTCCCGACGGCCCGATGCCTCGTCCCATTTCCCGGCTGCGCCTCCGTTGCTTTGAGCGCTTCCGCGGTGAGCCTTCTGACTTGACGCCCTTTCTCGGCCCACTTTCTGAGCCTCTGCCGGTCTCGAGTTGAGGCTGCCTTTTTGCGCTCGGGCCGACGACTGAGCCGATCATCTTCCCGAGCTTTTCTGCATTTTTGTCGCCCAGGAGTCTCAAACGAGGCTCCTTTTGCCTTCTCTTGCCCACCGTTTGAGTGTTTGCGCAACAATTTCAAACTCCGTTGCTTTTTTGTGAGAGAAGCAGCGGCCGGACAATGTGAAGCCCTCCTGCGTTTGGCAGACGGAGGCGTCTTCGTGGGGACGGGACTGATGGGCCGCTTCCCGGTGACACTTTGCTCGGAGGTGAAGCTCACAATCAGCTCTGCCGGAACGCCGGGGGCCCGCAGGGTTTTCGCCACCGGCTCGGCGGTTCGGTTCTGCACGCGTGAACCATTTGCGGCGAGCGTCGCCTCGGCATCCGCTTCACCGGGACCCGTTTCTGACTTCGGGGGACAGACCGTACTCCGTTCGCAGGCGAGGCTCCCGATCGGCTCTGCCGGAAGGTCCCGAGTGTGGAGGGTTTTCACCTGCGGGTCGTCGCTTTTGTTCAGAACTTGCAAATCGTTTGTCGCAAGCGTGGCTCCGGCCCGCGTTTCGCCGGGACTCGTCATCTCCGACTTCGCAGGCCCGACCGGACTTTTCTCTGTGACACTTTGCTCGGAGGCGAAGGTCACCATTAGTCGCGCTGCAGCGTCGGGAGTCCCAAAGCTTTTCACTCGGGCATCGTGGCTTTTGTTCAGCGCATGCAAATTGCGCGGCGCGGCCGTCGCTTCGGTTTTTAGTTCTTCGGTACTGTCCTGCCATCGCGGGGGAGTCTTTCCACCAATCGGCTGATCTTCTGATCCCGTTTGCGGAGAACCGGCGGCCCGGAGCGCCTCGGGAGATGACAGCGAGTCGTCCGCGTCACGGATGGCAGGTAGTGGAGACGGACTCGGCGCCGGTCCGGGATTTAGCATCACGCTGCAAGTCCGCGTGCGGTTCGCCACAATTTCACACGGTCCTCGGTTTGGATCCGCGTCCGCTTTCTTGACCTCGCCTTCCGCTAAACAGAGAACCGGCAGAATTCGGAGAATTTCGCATGAGATGAAGCCGCGAGGTTTGGGCTCTGTGATAATCCAAGAAAAGGGCATTTAGGCAAAGTCCCGCGTGACACTGGCAGGTCGTCGTGATCCGCGTTGCCTTACCCTTCATCGCCAACGCTCTGGAAGAGGAGAACAAATGTTGAGCTACCTTTCTTCCATCCAGCGGACTGTACAGCGGAACCCGTGCGTCGCGAGTGCCGACCGTTTGGGGAAATCTGCCGCGGGACGCCAAATCCCTCAAAGATTGACTCAAGTGCGATTTGTTGCGCTGCTGGTTTTGAATTTCAACGGGTCGCACGTGGAGACGGCGAGGCGGAGGTTCCGCTGTACAGCGGCCAAAAGGAACCCGATGCATCGCCCCCGCTCAATCACCTTTGCTTTTTGTAAGAAAAAGCGACGACGGCAAACGGGCAAGTGAGGCTGGGCGAGGCTGCCGTTTCGTCACGTCCGTCATCAAGCAGCTCGTAGATGTAACACTGCGGAAAGGCAAAGGCAGGGGGGGCTCAGGTTGGGACGACGCGCGTCGACGGTCTCAAAGTGCCATCTTTACTTGGGTTCTCTCAAACGCCAGAGAGAAGCTGGTTCGGGTGGTTACGGAGGCCAGGTGCTGCGACACGTGGCAGTCAAAGCCCGCGGTGGGGGCGCCCGGAGCCGCCGCGTGGTTCCCCGAAACTCGCTTGACCCTGCCCTGCGGAAAGGAGAGCGTGTCAACTGACGCCCCGCCGCCGCCGCCCGCCCCGTTTCCATTTGCCGGTGAAACTCGCTTGACCCTGCCCTGCGGAAAGGAGAGCGTGTCAACTGACGCCCCGCCGCCGCCGCCGCCGCCCGCCCCGTTTCCATTTGCCGGTACCGTCGTCAGCCTGATTATGGCGATGAATCCCGATTGGCCGTCCTGCCAGCGCTCCGGGCCCAAACAGTCAGAGAACATCGAGATGTAAACACCTGAACGACACCATTGAAATACAGTGACAAACAAGTCACCAAAACACAACACAAACCTCTTACAAACGCACTGATTCCGAATCCCTGTTTTTTGTTTCTTTTTTTTTCTTCTCTCCAACGCATCAGGTTTCCGTCGTCAATTTTTCTCTGAAAAGTCTGGAGAGTCCCCGAGAGTAGTTTATCCCGGTAAGATTGACCTACGAAAACTGGGTACCATGTGTAGCATCCGCAGTGTTACAAAAAAAAACAAAACAAAAAAAACACGTCGGAAGCCTCACCCAAACATGTACAGCAAGCAAGTGATGAGTATTTCAAAGTGTTTGCCCATTTACAAGGGTCATACTTTTACTTAGTGATGGGGAAAACGAAGCTTCATGAAGCACTTGTGATATCTCTCGATGGTGCTCTCGGTTTAAATAGAACAGTTAGTGCAATGGAAATGTAGAAGAATTCCACTGCATCTTTAAACCAAGAGCGCCACCTCCAGGAGTGAAACACTAGCACAAGTGCTTCATGAAGCTTCAGTTGTCCATCGCTGCTTTTAGCCCCTCGTCCTGGGCGGTTAACCCGATGGGACTTCAACTTTGGGGTTGTACCATCTCAACACTTGGGACGACAACAACAGGGAAACATGTTTGCAAAACATTCAATGGACATTTTCCACAAAAATGGGGGTGATGTGGGGAAGAAAATCCAAAATATGAACAAAACATTCAAGAAAAACTAAATCTGTGATGATGGAAATCCATGGATAACCGAACTGCGAATCTGCAGGGGTCCAGAGTACTTTTAAGAGTAGGCCAAATATTTTTGGGGTGCATTTGGAATGATATGGAGGATTAACATTCCCCAAACATCAATAAATTTTCTAAATGACTTGACTTTTGTTTTTGTGTTTTTAAATGTACAAAATGAGTTCTTGCAGTTTGTTGGTTTCTTGTTCAGCGGTTTTGAATGCTCATTCTTATGCGAGACAGCGCCTCGCACTGCCCGGGGGGGACAGTAGGGTGAGCCTTTGTTGTTGGGTGCGGATAGTGGATCTTTTTGACATGCATTGAAACATGATTCATGAAAAAGGAAATATACGAAGAGAACATATTTCGCCCATTTTGTCCAGATCTGAAATGGAATTTTGGTGGTCCACCTGCTTAGGAAGTGTGTGTGTGGCCCTCCCTTTCCGGCATTGAAGTTGCCAATCCGTGAGCTCGGTCGACGCAAGATTTCTACGAGGAAGAAAATATGAAATGCCAGAGTGCGCTCGCACGAGGTAAAGCAAATGTAACGGCAACACCCACAAACCGGTTGGGCGACTTTCTTTCCTCATGCAATGTCATGAAAGGGACTCGTGTTTCAGCAAGTGGCTCTCTCTTTTTTTTTTTTTTTTTTTCCAACTTCGATATTTGGAGCTCCGAGGAAGAAAATATGAAGTGCCAGAGTGCGCTCGCACGAGGTAAAGCAAATGTAACGGCAACACCCACAAACCGGTTGGGCGACTTTCTTTCCTCATGCAATGTCATGAAAGGGACTCGTGTTTCAGCAAGTGGCTCTCTCTTTTTTTTTTTTTTTCCAACTTCGATATTTGGAGCTCCGAGGAAGAAAATATGAAGTGCCAGAGTGCGCTCGCACGAGGTAAAGCAAATGTAACGGCAACACCCACAAACCGGTTGGGCGACTTTCTTTCCTCATGCAATGTCATGAAAGGGACTCGTGTTTCAGCAAGTGGCTCTCTCTTTTTTTTTTTTTTTTTTTGGGCAAAGCCTGTTAAATATTGAAGAAAACTCGTCGGAACGTCGACGTTTTTATGCAATTCTGCCGCCAGAACTTTCGCAATGTCGATTGTGGCGGCGAATTGGGGCACTTTTGCCCAACAACCGCCGCACAACGCTGGACTTTGACTGCTACGCTCGGGCCGCTCATCCCACGTGACTTGGGAGCGACCCTCGGCAATATCACGCTTCATCAGTCACACGCTGGCTGGAGGGCAAATGTTGACGTGATCGTTTTGGGGTTTTGGAGTATACAGGGGGAGCCTGAAATTAGACTTGCACACTTTCATTGTAGCGCCACCTCACTTCCAATTTTTATGTTTTTTTTGCCGATTTTCTTTTCTTTCTATCAAACGCATTTTCTACCGATATCGATGACGTGCCTATCGTGATGCCTATTGAGATTGAATTATTCCAGAACCCTCCAAGCCCATTTTAAATTCTCTTTGGTTTTGTCATTTTTACAGTAAACCTGGAGTGACAAGGAGCTTGAAGCAAGCATGCCGGGCCTCTTCTCAGGAGACCCGCGCAAGCCGTTGCCACCTCTGCCTTCAGATCAGTCACGCAGGAGGGCCAGAGCCGGGATTTGAACCCGAGACCTCCTGACTGTAGTGACCGCCATGTTCGTTACTTGCGAGGTGCGGTGTTAAGTCGTCTTTGTTTTGTTTGTCTTACCCTTGAGGGGGTCTCCCAAGCTGGAACAGGAGCTGGTCCCAGTGAGAACTCCAGTTCGCCCGAGCGCATTGGCCTGTGAAAAAAGACGAAATCAAAATGAAAGTAAGAGTAACGCGCACAAGGAATGTGTGTCGTGGCAGATTGAGCGGCAGCGTGTGTACCTTGTTGACGTCATCAAAGAGCAAAAAGCCATAAGTCTCCTCCAGGTCATCTTCCGAATATCCCGCCCGTTTTCTCTTGGCTCGAAAGGCAGCGTACTGAGGTGGGATCCAAAAGTGAATTCACGCAGCCCCTCTCGAATTGCAAACATTCCGCAGACCCCTCAAATAGCAGTCACCTTTTGGTTCAAGGCCGGGTTTTTAACAAACGAAGCCCATTTGTATCGGAAAGACAGCTTGGACTCTTCGTACAAGTAGGCGCTTCGCAGTGGAGCCAAGATTTTCCGTTTAAAAGCGTCAGAATGTTCCGTCACTGGTATTAAAACATCTGAGTGCGAAGGGAGGGGAGAGAAAACATGAAGCGAAGAAAAGGCGAGGCTGGAGAAGTGCGAAATGCACGACAAGTTAAAGTCGCGCGGCCGTTTGGTCTCACGAGTCGCACTTTGACGGCAATCGCGACGGGAGGAGCCGATCAAAGAGGCTCGACCGTGCGAGGGAAGCGGCACGCCGAGGGGGATTCGCGTTTAAACCACCGAGGCGAAAGTGAAACTTGAAAGTGTACTCAACTTGAAGCGGAATCGGTTCCACTTTCCATTTCGGAACTTGTCACGCCTCGCGTCGTCCTCGTGTCCTTTCGCCAAGACAAATCCTTCTTGTTGGAAACATGGCCCTCCACAAAAAAAAAACAAGCCACATGAAATCTACTCCCAAGCGCGCAAATCGACTTTCACTTCGCTCCCGCCTGTGAGGAGGGGGGACAAAAACAAACTAACTCGCGCACTCACACGCACAAAAAAAACATTGTTGCTCGGCAATTTCCCAAGCAGGAAGTGAGAATCCGGGCCACGTAGCACATCCCCCAAAAAAAGAAAGAAAGAACCCGCAACAACACCAGAAAAAAACTATGAATCCCACTTTTGCTCGTCAATCCGACGTGTGTGAAAACAAAGAGTGTTCCGACGGAGAGCGACGCGAGGACGACGACTGGGGGCGAGAAACGAAAGCAAACGCGTCGCCAGCAGCCGCATCCATTTTGAAACTTGTCAAAGGCAAACTCGAGCCGAAGCGATCGCGCTGTTGCTCAAGAACTCACGCGAGCGGTCCCACGCCAAGTCCTCCTCAGCCTTTTCCTCATCGCTACTCTCAGACCGTCCTAACAGACGATCGGAACTCATCAACCGCCGACTTGTGGACTATTTCGATGCGTAACAGAAATGTAACTTAGTGACTGCCTGCCTGAAGCACCGGTGGAACCTAACCCTTTTTTTTTTTTTATCCAACTTCGATATTTGGAGCTCCGTGAACCACAAAAACGTCAAGAGGACCCGACATAGCCTCATAGGAGAGGCGCAACGTAACTCAAATCAAAGTACAACATTAAAAAGCAGTTGCGGAGGAGTCCATTACATTTAAATTCGCTCTGTAAAATTACTAATAGAACACACAGTGCAAGAGAGAGAGAGAGTTGGGGGCAAAAGCTATCAACTATATGCTCACTTATGTGGTTTCATCATGTTGGATTTCATCGTTTCTATTCCTTCATTTCTCGCGACCCTTCCCGACAAACTCTTTCCCGTGTCTTTTTCAATGTTGGCCTGTTGAGGCTGACCGGGTCAGCAATCTTTGGCCCAACACCCTTTTTTTCAGTGGCCCGCGGCATATCCTGAAAATGACATTTGACACGTCCCGCAACGCTCGTTGAAAAAGAAAAAAAAAAAGTTTGGCGATGGTCAGAGTAACAAGGGAGGGAGGATGTCGAAAAGTAGGTGGAACTGGTTTACTTTCGAGCTTTTCTAGATTTGCAAAGATACAAATGCAGTTGTACGAATTATTCGGGACAAGAATGATTTCTCTTCAAAACAGTGAATAAAGATCATTGAACATCATTTCTTCTACCTTGTGTTTTGTGTCAAGTTCCCATTGTGGAGCAGATAACATAAGGGGGGGGGGGGAGGGATGCCATCATGCTGAAGCATTGCCACCGGTAAAGCGGATTCGTTTCCAGTGAGAGTTGGACAAACAAAACAAACATGACAAAAAGCTGAGAGAAAGCCGACAAAAAAAATCCCCCCAGATATTGTAGTATTTATTTCTTCATCTATTTATAATTTCACGACAAATAGACATCAATGTAACAAAATCTGAGAAACGATGAACAGCAACAACAAACTATGACCCCAAAGTGCCGGAAATTTGGGCAAAAGAAGACGGCACGTTTTCCGCTCGTAACTGTCGTAAACCGTGGCTCCGAACGTCACGTGGTATGCAAGGTGACTACATTTCCCAGAGTTCCATGCTTTCGCTCGCTCGCATTTCATTGACAGAAAGGACTGTCGGTCGAGAGGAAAGTGAGCACACGCGCGGCGGCATCGTCGTCCGGCCACTCGACGAGTTTTTCGGGGTCGCGATGACATCCGTCCCCCGCGAAAAGTTTTCTGGCGGACGGTGAAGATGACGACATGGAGATAACGCGGAACAGGCCGTCCTTGTACGGGGACATCGGTAAGCGGCTTAGCGCTCTTCTCGCCGAGTGGAAAGCAAAATGTGAACTCGACGACGACGGCTTCTGTCCGCGCCGCAATATACGACACGCCAAATCAAAACTTCCAAGCTCGAGTGACGTTCGCTCGCCACACACTCGTTTGCCGCCCGATCGCGACAATGGACCGTGTCAATGATCAAAAATTGAAAACGAAACTATAAAACTTTGTTGAGTGCAGTGATATGTGGTCAACCGCCCCCCCCCCACACACACAGAAAATTTGATTGTTTATCAAAATACAAATCTAGCATGACGAAAATAAAAGTGGGTGGCATGGTGGATAAATGAATTGAACACTCTCAATTGGGCTGGCCACCAGTTTGGGGTCTACTGGCACGCCCGCGACCCTCATCAGGTGACGTAAACGCAACAGTCTTGACTTGTCTTAAGTGACAACATGTTCTGGTGAAAGTCGACTTTTTTTCTGCGGGTGACGTCGTTTGGCACCGAATCAAAACATCTTGTCAAATGAACGCTTCTCGCAGCGTTGCCGAGGAAAACCCAACGCGGGCGCGCATAGAACAAGTGCGCGCCTCGGGATCCGATGACATGTTGCCATTCGCAGCTCACGGTCTGGGATTCTGGACGGAGCGCTCGGAGGTGCACCAGGCGGCGGCGCAAGGCCGGGCGGCGCGCCTGCGGCAGCTGATCGGCGACGGGGCGGCCGTCAACGCCGCGGCCGCCGACTCCATGGCGCCTTTGCACGAGGCCTGCATCCGGGGACAGGCGCGCTGCGTCGCGCTGCTGTTGGCTGCCGGAGCGCAGGTCAGAAGGGCTCCGCTTTCGACGTCTCCCTCCTCCAGCGCGCCCGATTCCCGTGAGCGGGATGGTTCTCGGCCTTCTGCGAAGCCACGCGCCTTAAATGCAAGGAGAGCGATCGGACGGCTAGAGTCGACAGCCCACCAAAAATGTTCGTAGCCCAGCGGGGGAGCCAAAAAAATGAAGACGCTGGAACCTCGGTTTTGGTGATGAATCCGCTCCGCGAACCCAAGTGTGAAAACCAAAGCAATATTTCCTTTGGCAAATCATGGAGAAACCATTCATCTGTTCCACACGCTCCCAAATATGAACAACAAAAAAAGCATTTGGTCGAGAATAGCTGTCGTGTGACATCCAGAAAACACCGTGGAATAGGAACGCTCACGTTTATTGGCCTTGTCAAGCCACGCGACTCTTTTGTCATTCGCAATGGTCAGGCTGTCAGACCGCCGGCGAATCGGAAATCCCAAAACAAATCCAAACAAACCGAATTTGAACGTCAAAATCCCAAGCGATCGCAAGCCTTGACCAAAGTTAGCGCCAGGAGGCAGGCTTGTTGCGGCGCCGAATGACGTCCGACTCCGCAGGTGGACGCCCGCAACATCGACGGCAGCACGCCGCTGTGCGACGCCTGCGCGGCCGGCAGCCCCGACTGCGTCCGGCTGCTGCTGGAGTACGGCGCCGCCGTCAACCCGCCGCTCTTCACCTTCTCGCCGCTCCACGAGGCCTGCCTGCGAGGTACGCTGTGCTAAATCAATCAAAATATATCTAGTTATATTCAATTTTTTGGGGGGTGGAGACTTTGTAACCTCCGTTTCCAAGTTATTTGTTTATTCCTTCCCCGTTCGACAGGCAATTTGGATTGCGCGACGCTTCTGATCCAGCACGGCGCCTCCACGGAGGCGCACGACTGCCACTACGGAACACCGCTGCACGTCGCCTGCGCCAGCAAACACTACCACTGCGCTAAACTGCTCCTCAATGCCGGTCAGTCATCCATTGGAGTGTCTTTTTTTTTTTTTTTAAATTATGGCCAGATTTTTGTAGATATTTTTTTTTTGTGGGGGTCAAACTTTTGTAAGTTTTGGCCACCTCAAATTTCCTCAATTTGTCATATTTTTGTTGGGTTTTTTTTCCATTTATTTATTTTTGGGGTGTCTATTTTAGTTTGGGTATAGTCTGTGTTTGCCCAATATTTTGCCATGTATTTTTCCCAACTGTTGTCAGTTTTTTTTTTTTTGCCCCGTATCTTGTTGTGTAAGTTTCCCCAACACGGCTGGCTGACTTCTCTTTGCTTTCCATCACTCGGAGGCGCGAACGTCAACGCGGCCACGCTCCACGAGACGGCGCTACACTGCGCCGCCAAGACGCGACAGGTGGACTTGATCGAGCTCCTGGTGGAGTTCGGCGCTGACCTGCACGCCCGTGACAACGCTGACAAGAAGGCCATCCAGTACGCGCCGCTGGGCTCGCCGGCGCATCTGTGCTTTCGCTTCTACGAAGGTACATATGAAGAAACGGCTTGGACGTCTTAGATGTATCTACACATATATAAAACGAATGCGATACGCCTTCGGAAGTTGAGTTACGAGCTTGGTCACGGAAGAAACTGTCCAGTCAAGGTAGCACTGCAGATGCTCATTGCTCATGCGAACAATGAGCATTTCCTCTGTTGGAGTGTGTGTGTTTGTGTGTGTGTCTACCCATTTGTGTTTTGTTCCGCAGACACGCCGCTGAGCCTCCAGCAGATGGTGCGGGCGGCCCTGAGGAGGATCCTGGGCGCGAATGCCCTCCGCGTTTTCTCCCAGCTGGATTTGCCCAGTCGCATGGTTGCGTTTCTGTCGTACGCGCCGCCGCCTCCCGTCTTTGACGTCTGACACGCGTTTTTGATGGCTCGCGTCGGCTCCATCCACACAAGCCTCTGCGTGATCAGTCGCGACACATGAGTCATCTTCCATTTCTTTTCGATTGACTGGCAAAGTCCGCTTCATGTTTTCACTCTTCTTCTTTTAAATGTACAGTGTGTGTGCCGCCATCTCGTGGCCATCAGTGGAATGGAACCAAACATAAGACAAACAAAACGGTGTCAAACTGTCCACAAAAATAAAACATCTGTGGGGCGACGAACCTGGGAAAATGCGACGGAGGAGATTAGTGTGTATGTATGTACGCACGCAAATATATAGACTGTAAATATGTCCATTTGGTTCAACTTTGTAATTTGCGGCTAAATAAAGTTTGCTGCCCGATTGTTGTGGAGATCACACAACAAAATGTCAACCCATTTTTCCCCCAATGGGTTGACATTGGGGGAAAAAAAAAGCAAAGACTCGCTCACTTATTATTTTGTACGGTTAAGTCGTGGCAGCTTTATATTTGGGTTGACATTGGAAAAAAAAAAGCAAAGATTGGCTCACTTATTATTTTGTACGGTTAAGTCGTGGCAGGACAAACACCAAGCAATGAACCAGTAAATTCAGACAAATTACGAATAACGAAAGAAAAAAACAAGTGACAAAAATGTGACAGAACCGAGCGATACAAACTCCACGATTTGGAAGACCAAAACCTGGACAGATGTTGACAAAATGTCAGTCAGATCACAAATGTATGTACTTTGTGTTGATAAACTTAAAGCAAAAAAACCTCCTTCGAGCCGGATTTGAACCAGCGACCCAAGTGACAAAAATGTGACAGAACCGAGTGATACAAACTCCACTATTTGGAAGACCAAAACCTGGACAGATGTACACAAAAAGTCAGACCACAAACGTGTGTACTTTGTGTTGAATAAACTTAAAGCAATAAAAACCTCCTTCGAGCCGGATTTGAACCAGCGACCTAAGGATTTCAGCTGAGCGCTTCTACAGTCCTCCGCTCTACCAACTGAGCTATCGAAGGGCTGACGAAAGTGCCTCGTGCTTTTCTAATGTGGAAAAAAAGGGGCCAGGGCAAAGTCGAGATTGGATGTTGGAATCGAGTACGGTGGGACGTCGGACCCCACTCTGATTGTCCCAACAACAAAGATGGCTGATTTCGAGAACACGTTTGCTATTCTCACGTTTTGACCTCCAGCAAACCTTGAAAGCATTTCACCAAATAACTTGGTGCGGAGAGAGAACGCCACCTCTTCACGCACGCCTTATGTGACACGAAGGTCTTTTACAGGAACGAAATGAACGAACGCGATGATCCAGAGGATCCATTGACGCGTTTTGCCATTCGCGGTCTGCGGTTGCGTCCAACTTTGCCGGCTGCGCCCTGCGACGGCCGCGCGGCGTCACTTCCGGCGCGACTCCACCGCACCTGGTTTAAAAAGTCCCCCGAAGCCAGTCCAAATCCGCCGCGGTTGACCCGGTCCGCCGAGGCGACAAGAGGAGGACCTTGGAAGGAATTGTCTTGCTGACTGACCCCCCCGCGCTGCAAGAAGGAGAGTAGTCCCCCACCCACCCATTTGCAATATGCTTTATTTATAGGTGATCATTTATCTACTTTTTGTTTTTCTACTTCTCCCTTTCATAATTTGAGTCCCCCACCCACCCATTTGTAATATGCTTTATTTATAGGTGATCATTTATTTACTTTGTTTCTCTACTTCTCCCTTTCATAATTTTGCTGCTGTAAATTGGGAATTTCTCCATTGTCAGACAAATACAGGTTTTTCTTATCTTGTCTTATATGTACTGTGTATATTATATATATATTATACATATAGTGAGTGAGAACTAGAGTGGGCTATCCCAAATTTCAGGAAAAAAAATGCTCACAGCACACTATCACATAAAAATGTCATAAAAACTGATCAACAGGTTCAACTCCCAAATAGATTGAGACAAAATCGTTTTTTTCAGGATAGGTTTTTCTTATTTTGTTGACATTTTGGGGGGGGGGCTCAAAGAGCAAACCTTAAAGAAAACTTATCCCAGTCTAGTATTCTGTTGATTTTTGAGGCACACATTTTATAGATCGGAAAAATACATTTTGCCACTAAAAACTGGAGTGGGCGAACACTATTGGTGATCTCAATTTTATATTTTGGGGTTGGGGGGGGGGATCTTGTGGCACACTATCAAACCAAAATGTCAGAAAAAAATGCCTGCATAAGGTAACGTAGATTGTGCCATCTAATATCCTGCCTGTCACTACACCACTGGCATACAATAGCTTGATGAACAACTACGACCCCCCCCCCCCACATCATTTTCAGACCCATGAAGTGATCTTGACTGATTCCTTGCGGCATATCACACATGTTGCAAATCACAAATCCAGATGACAGTACAGTACGTCATTTGAAGACACAAAGACACTTTCAAGGACGGAAACGACAGCATTTTTTGGGGGGGGGTGTTGGTTGGTTGTAATTTCGTTTTATGTTCAGTCTGCAACACGTGTTTAAAAACATGAAAGGAGTGGTTCAGCCATTCATTCATTCATTCACCTCTACACTCCCGTCTCTTTCCTGTTGATGGAGGTCCGCGACCTTTGCGGCCTGAGGCGAGGTCCCGCCGGCGGACAGTTTTCGTCTCCGTCGTAGACGGCGGACGAGCGCCGCTTGGCCCGCGTGGCGGCGGCGCCGCCAGGGGGGACGTGCGGCGCCATGGCGCCGCGCAGGCAGTTGAGCCACTGCTGCTTGTGGTAGACGTCGTTGACGTGCAGAGTGTGCGATTGGCCGTGGGACGGGTCTGACGAGCTCACGCGGAAAACGTTCTTTGCTGGAGGGGCAGAGAGGGCGGGGGGGACATGGCCTTTGAGAAAACACGCCGTGAGGAACAAAGAAGAAAGTAAAAAAAAAAAAAGAGAACAATACGGAGATGCCGTGACTTGTGAGTTTAAGTCTGTAAAACTGAGAAAGACATTTTTTTAAAAAAAAATCCTCACTTGACAAAAGTCAAAAAGACCAAAAAGAGACAATAATTCATGAAGGGGGGAAAAAAATAAAACACCGAAAAGCACCAGCACCTATATGATCAAAAGCAAAAAAAAAAAAAACAAAAAAAAAAAACATGACAATTCTGTCAAAAGTTCTTGACAGCCCTTGGCCAAAACCATGACCCCCCCCCCCAAAAATTGACCAAAACATAACAAAATACAGAGGAAATTACAAAGTTTGAGAGAAAAACCCAGCGCAAGTTTGTGCAAACCTTGCCCCCCCCCAAAAAAAAGAGAAGAAAAAAGAAAAAATGTGACTACCTCCCCCGCACCACCTAAAACAATAAAAAAGATGATTTTATTTGTTTTAGATCTGGCAAAAACTGACAGGCAAAAAAAACTTTTTGGGGGAAGAGAAATGAAAAATCCTCGACAGTCTTTGGACAAAAGTGCATCGGTCGCTGTCCTTGCTCACATGCCGGGCGGTGCATCATTGCTCTTTTTTTGTCTCCGGTTATGCAAAATGTGAAATTTTCCTGCCGCCACCTCACCCCGCTCCATCCATTTCTCAGCAAGACTATTAAAAAAAAAAAAAAAAAAAAAAAAAAAAAAAAAAAAGTGTTGCAAAGGGCACCTTTGTCGGCGTTGGCGAAGGCCCCCCTGAAGGAGCCCCCCAGGCGCACTTCTCCGTCCTGCAGGTCTTCCAGCGCCAGGTCGCGCACCGGGATGGGCTGCCGGTACACCTGGAAGCAGCTGCGCTCGTTGCGCGTCACCGGCCGCGTCAGGACCAGCAGTTCCGAGAACAGGAACACGTGCAGCCTCTGCCGGGACAGCGAGCATCCGCATGGGGTCTGGTTAAACTTCCGTTTATTTGCCACGCAAGCGGCCATGATCTGACTCGGCCCTTTAATCTGTCCTCCCCCACCCCCCCATGTAAAAAGCGGGTGTTTGCAAATGTCCCAAAAATGGTGTACACGAAAGTCTTTAAAAATAATAATAATAATAATAATAATTTTGGCTGGTGTAATGTAAAAATGTTTTCTCTGTCCGTGGCGCCATCATTTGGACACCTTATTGAAAATGCCGGCCGTGCGCGTGCGTGCGTGCGTGCGTGCGTGTGTTTTCACCGAGCCGCTCTTGTTCCTGAGCTCGCCGTGACATAAGAGGCTGGTGCAGCTGTCAATCAAAGGGTGGCGCTGCTTGTCATCCAGATACTCCAACTTGTCGGCGTAGTACTGACACTCGCGCTCGCCTTTCCTCACGTTGATGTCCGACAGGATCTCTTGGATGATCGCCACCTGCTCGGGCAGACCGCGCGACAACGTGACGCCGTGTGCCGAGTTTGCCGATCGCCGGCGCTCTCGTACCGCCCGCTCCAGGTGGGCGACGTCCGGGTGCTCGGCGGGCGTGTGCCTCATGATCTCGCGCAGCAGCAGCGGGTACTTGACGAGGCGCGAGCGCGGGATGTCCAGGAAGCTCCACAGGTCCAGTTTGCGGCTGAAGGGCGACTCCAGGCAGCGCTGCAGGAAGTCCTGCACCCGCCGGTCCTGCTTTTTCTGGTCCAGGAGCGCCTTGGCCGCCAGCTGGTTGCTGCAGTAGTTTCTGTACGCGTTCAGGCCCGGAAGCTGCGGCGCAGGGGGACGGACACCCACGTCACGTGCTGCTTGCGCACAAACAAATGGCCGGTCGGCCAGCCTGCTCGCTTTGCGTCTCGCTCACCCAGTCGATGACAATTTGTCCTATCTGAGCCACCGTTCCGTCGGGGCTCGTTCCGTCAGTCAGCTTTGTCAAGAGATCTGAAAGGGGAAAAAAAACCCTCAAATGAAAGCCGTTTGCAACTCCATCAAGATGTCAAGACCTGACAAAGGCACAATTGGATTTCAAAGATACGGCACGAGCCGCCGACCGGCCCGTTTTCTTTGGGGAAGAGGCGCCTTTGAATCGCCAGCAAAAATTTGAGAACCAAATATAAGACAGAAGAATCTTCACACACTTTTCTTTGTCATTTGCCCAAAATGACTGCAGCTTAGCAAGTCAGTTGTCTCTGATGCTATGTTATGCGGTCCCCAAATGGCCAAAGCAAGCGCACCAGAAGGAGTGACATCATGTCTATTGAATGGAAGCAAAAAATGTGGCAAAAACAAGTGCGTTCTTTCCGTTCCAAAATCAGTTTTTTGTTTTTTTTGGGGGGGGGGGGTTCTTCTGCAGCGAGAACCACATTGAAGAGGAACAGGCCTTTTACTGACCCTCATGCAGCGGGATGTAGGCATCCAGATCCCCGAAGATGTGCGCCAGTTCCTCCTCCGTCATGATGGACAGCTTGAGCATGGGGTCGTGGTACGCCTGAGCCCAGCGGCAGTGTCACGTTATTAACAAGACCAGAGATATTTTAGTGAAGGGGGGGTTCTTCAAACCTTTCGCGCCAGCTGAAGATCCTCGATGAGATCCTGCTCGCCCCTGAAGAGCTCATAAATAGCCTGCGGAAAGAGGAGCACTCGGTTTACGTCCGGGGTGAGCCCCGTCCGGCCCCAAGAGGCACACGGCCGCATCATCTTAAGTGTCGTACGGACGTGTCGCGCTTCTCCTGCCGTTCTTTGCCAGCGCTGTCGGTGAATTGAAACAAACTTAAAATGAGAATTATGGCGACATCTCAGATGGTGAGCCGCGATTGCAGACCGCCGAGCACTTGCTGTGACGGGGGTCACGCGCCGCAGTGGGTTCAAGGTGACCTGATTTGAATTTGACTTTTTTTTGTGCACGTGTGCAATTTTTTGTTTCTTCTTTCTTGGTCTGAGCATTACAGTTTTTTTTTTAAACTACTGTATGTGATTGACGGTGAAAGTCAGAGTTTTACTTTTGCATTGAATTCAATTTCAGAGTCTGGACTCATTGATTCTCAAGCGCGTGGCTGGGGTAAAGCTATTTAAATAAAGGTCGCCCGCTCTTTCGTGCTGATTTTCCCCCACGGCGGGGGCTCTTAAACGTACCCCCCCAGATAAGCAGCGGTTCAGCGTGCGACCGCCGGTTGCGGACGACTTGCCAAGACGCGTTTGGGATGGGCCGAGGATAAGCGCTCCTCAACGACGGCAGCGCTAAAGGTCCAACTCTGTCACTCGGGCACCATGGGGGGGGGCTCATGTCAAAGTGTGCGCGGGGGCCACAACCTCCTGCCTCTTGATCTCCTTGGAGGAGAAGGCGCTCTTCTGGTGAACGTCCAGCGTCTCGGACCACAGCATGCTGCTGCGGCGCTTGGTGGGCGTGGGAGCCGCCGCCGCCGCCTTGCCGCCGCGCAGCGACGTGCCCGGAGACTTGCCGTCCCCTCGCAGCGACATGGACTGGGTGGGAACACAAGGATTCGGTCAGGTCTTTTGAAGCCGGAAGGGCACGCGCGCGCAAGCCACGAATCGGAGCATTTGCCTCCGACGCCGGCTCCCGAAGAGCCGGCGAGCATTTCTTTTCCGTTTCTATCGTGAGCGAGCTGCTTTATTTTGCCAGCCGACTTGACGCGATTGTGAAGAGCAAAGCGGATGTCGTTGCGTGAGACACTTCCTGTTTGGCGTCGCACGGGGAATCTACCAAAGATGGACTGCAGCTTCGGCGCATCGGATCGCCAACGTTCGCATGCTAGCTTCGTCGACTGTTGGTCACGTCGCAGACAAGTGGGGCGCATTGTTTTGTTGTGTTTTATTTAGCGTTTTGATGCCTTTGTTACAGTTTTACACCTTCTTGACTGGCCTCGACGGTGAATAAAGTTCAAGAACCATCGACGGGTGTGTCCGTCTGTCTGTCTACCTAGCTGCAGTGGGCACGTGGCAAGGGCAGAACAACCTTCCCTTCTGTTCAGATCAAAGCGGGCCGATTTTCGGATGTCTCAGCCGCGATGCGGTGTAGGGTGTGTACGATTATCGGATGTCTCAGTCACGATGCGGTGTAGGGTGTGCCCAGAGTGATTATTTTCTTTTTTTTTTGGGAGGGGGGGGGGGTCCTTCCTTTACCTGGATGGTCTGACCAAAACGTCGCACTGCTGCATTCTTGGAAGGCGATATGAAATTGACGAGAGACGACACTCTGGCCAGCGGTCGTCCTTTCTTGTGCGTTGGCTCCTGTCGCACGCAACAAAAGCACGAAACACAACTGCGGTTCATACAACGAAGACATCAACGACCGTTCAAAGAGTGCACGCGTCCGCTAACGCGGCAGAAAATGTGTACTGGGAGAGCACGCGTGAGTGTTCCGATGAGAAAAACCGGGGCAGCGACTCATGAAGACGTTTCCAAATTGCGGCCGCCTCGAGGGTGCGAAATGCACAAAGACAACAAAAGTCGGCTGCGGTCTCTCTCACCTTGATGTCGAAACTGGACAGGCTGACCGTGTCGTCTTCCTTTTCTTTGCGTTTTCGCTTCTGTGGTGGCAACGACAATTTCCACGCACATTTACATGACACGTTGAACACAAGTATTGCTTCAGCCAGGGGTTCTCGCACGAGCTTTAGCTATGTGGATTCGTACATAACGGGGCCAATAAAACCTGTCATGCTAAACCGCTTACTTGTCCCTACCTCAGATTTTGGTCAATTGAAAGTTCGGATTAGATTATGCGGTATCACATACATGCATGAATAACAGACAGAATTGTTATTTTTGTTTCAACCCTGATCTGGCTTAAGCGACACATAACAGATAACGTGGTGGTCGTGGTGCACTCACTAGACTGAAGTCCCAAGGTGTCCCTGGAGTGAGAAAGGTGAAGGAGCTCCCTCTCTGCAGCAGAGGTCTAATGAACACGACAAAAACATCACATGACAGCACATACAAATAGAGTTGCATGCATGCCACCCGGCCCGAATTGCCTTGTTTTTGTGAGTTGCAATGTGATCTCGATGCATGACTGCCACGGGGGGCGCTTCAGGAAAGAAAACATGTTCTGCTTTTTCATTCTACTAAATGCCATATATCTGCCAACATGTTGTTGTTCGGGAACTCAACACTCAAGTGGAGTGGGGGGGATTTGAACAGCTCAGCTTGTGTTCTTTCATAGTCAGCTGGGCAATAATGGTCAAGCCTGTGGAATTTAGTGCCATCTAGCGGCGAACTAATACAATGCAACAACCCAAACTTGGCGAATTTACCGCCATTTGATGAACGACCACGGGAAAATCAGCTTTACATCGATTTGATGACGAAGCCGAGGCACGTGATCGTAAAACTCTGGTTTCCGGGACGCACTTGAACGCATCTTTTATCCGCTCGCAAACAGGCACAAAGGAATTGGTTTTTGTAATCTGCTAAAAGTATCTGGAGCATCGGGATAACGCTGTAAAGTGCGTGGCGGTTGGGTTTGAACGCGTTGGCGTACTTTTTGGAGTTATTTCTGCGGAGCGTTCTCGGCGAGGGCTCGGCGAAGCTGCTAACACTGGCGGTGGACGATCTCGATGACGTCCGACGAAGCTTCTGTTTTTCCCCCAACGCCGCTGCTGCCTTCGCTTCTTCGCTCTCTTCCATTCCGCTGCAGGCCTCGTTAGGGTTTAAAAATCAAACCTTGGCGTGGACGGAATGAGGGAAACGGGTCGGATAACAATGTTCGAGTGTAGAAAACACAACGACAACAGACGAGCGAGGATGAATGCACACAGTCAGCACGGCGGAAGTTTGAATATGGCGGAGTATTGAAAACGAACCAATCAGAGAAGAGCTCCCGGCAGTGCCGCTTTGGACCAATCAGAGAACAGCTTACCAGCTCTGCTGCCAGGCGAACAATAGAAGTGGGAGTAACTGCTCTATAAATACTGCACTTAAGCAGAATTTGTTTTATTCTTCTTCTTATTATTACTACTACTACCACCGCCATCATTATTATTAGTAGTAGAAGTAGAATCTATCTATCTATCTATCTATCTATCTATCTATCTATCTATCTATCTATCTATCTATCTATCTATCTATCTATCTATCTATCTAAATAATTGTAAAAGCAACAACAAAGAAGACATGTAAAAGTAGAAGTACCGATTCAGTTCCATCAAAGTAAAGCAAAAAGGAGAACATAGTATGAAAGTAAAATTAAACGTTTCCATTTGTACATTACCCATTTTGATCATTTGGCCCACAAAAGGTTTGTAAAAAGTGTGAATTATATTCTCAGTAAGCAGTTATAAATTCACTACCACAAAACATTGTAAATGAGTCACAAAAAACGTACTCATTACTTGTACTGTATGTAAAAAAATGGTCTGATTGAGAAGAAAATGTGTGTTTTTTTTGGGCATGTTGACATTAATTTGAAGTAGGAATAAAATTCAGCACCCACACCAAGAGGGCCTTTGCAACAAGAAGAATAAATAAAAAATCAATCCTGATTTTCTGCATCAACGGCCTTCCACTTGGGGAACATTAGCATTCTGTATTGATCTTGTGTGAGCAAAGACACAGCGCTCAGGTCAGAGAATGAACAAACATGTCTTGAGATCTAGCAATACAACTAAAGTAAAAAATATGTTTGGTTGGATGTCTCATTTAAAGGTTTGTCCTGAGACAGAAACAAAAAAAAAAAACAAGAAGAAGAAAATATAAATATTAAAACAAGCTGGTTGTGCTCTCCACAGTTGTAAAACATACTGTTGCTTTTTAAATACATTTCTCTAGTTCTCATGGATTAAAAAAATGGATTAAGTAGAAGGAATTGTCGCGTTAGCCACACCAAAAAAACACATTATAAAAATAGGGCCAAAGGCAACCGAAAGTTAGGCAGAGATACGTAAATACTCCCCCCCCCCCAAATAAAAAAGCAGTATAAAGATTACAAGACAACTTTATTCATTCAGTCTTTTTCCATTTGATCCCCTCCTCTGTATTTCATCGAACGTGCCTCTAAAATAGCATCTTCCGCTGGATCTGTTGGGGCACCGAATCAGCGCTGCACTCTTCCGAAGAGCAAGCGTTCCAGTTTTGTCACCTTAGCTGTCCACAAATAAGACCAATTGTGAGTCTTCTACACGTCCCGCGTGACTTGAAGGCGTCTGTTGGGCACCCGTGGAGGGAACGATGAAAGAAAGACGGCAGGACAGCAGCTGGGCCCACTTCAGTCGGATACGTACTAAAAGGTGAGCTACTTTTCGTGTTCATGTGAGGAGTTGAGAGTCCGCCACCCAGAACTCCGATTTCATATGGTGCTAGAGTCTCCGTACCAACATCTACAGCTGTCCACAAATAGAATGATTGTGAGTCTTCTACACGTCCCGCGCGACTTGAAGGCGTCTGTTGGGCACCCGTGGAGGGAACGATGAAAGAAAGACGGCAGGACAGCAGCTGGGCCCACTTCAGTCGGATACGTACTAAAAGGTGAGCTACTTTTCGTGTTCATGTGAGGAGTTGAGAGTCCGCCACCCAGAACTCCGATTTCATATGGTGCTAGAGTCTCCGTACCAACATCTACGTCACCAAATGAAATCAGTTTCCGAGTGCAGTCCTTCGGTTCGGAATCCGAGTCAAACACACACAAACGTCAAGTCTCGTTATGATGTTCGTGTAAAAAACAAACAAAGCAAAAAGTGGTCGCTGGGCCTTCTTTGGGGACTTACTGTACCTGACGTCATCCACCACTTGGAAGAATCTCTGCGGCGTCGCCATGATAGAAAGCATCAATGCGGAAAATGAAAGCACACAAGTGTGGCGCTTTGCTCACTCCGAGTCCAGACCGATCTAATAAAATGACAAAAACAGCAATCAAATCAAAGACGTGATTCTCTGATCCTGCCCATTCCGTGGATTCATGCGTGCGGAGAGGCTTGTTCGACCAACTTGGCTTTGCTGCGACAGATGTTGCCCTTTTCCCACCAATCAGAGGATGCCAAAATGTCGCTCGCCCTCGAATGGACGAATTTGACACCGCTGCTCAAATTTGTTTGGACAACAAGCAAGCAGGCATCCACTTTCCACAGCGCTGATCCTGAACAGGGTCGCGGGGTGTTGCCGCAACCTGTCCCGGCAGATTTTTGGGCGGAGGGCGGACGACCTCACATATCGAGAAAAGTTCAACGTGATCTGAACACATTTCTTTGCAGGAATGGTGGCACCCATTTTTTTTCTCACTCTGCCCACCTTCACCTTTGTGGGCTGCGCTTGCGGCCCAGGTCAAATGTCAACATTTGGAGGTTTTTTTTTTTTTTTTTTTTTTTGTGTTGCGGCCC